TTTAATCTCTGTGTTTGTTTTGCTCTGTTAGAATTGTAATACAATGGTTGCTGATGACACGATAAATAAAAGTAAAGAAAACAAAGTCAGTATTTACTGTTGTCTTGCCAAAGATACTGGTTTCACCTGGAAGCATTTATAGTAAGGCTAGTTCAGGGCTTAAACGCCCTAAAGCAGTGGTTCTCAACCTGTAGGTCCCCAAGTTCTTTGGCCTACAACTCCCAGAAATCCCAACCAGTTTAGCAGCTGTTAGGATTTCTGAGAATTGAAGGCCAAAACATTTGCTAACCCACAGGTTGAAAACCACTGCCCTAAAGGTACCATATTCTGCCTCATCTTGAAAGACAAGCACGAGCAGTCCTAGATAGTATACAGTAGTAGATGGGAGTCGTAGACCTTATTTCAGAAGGAGGACTTGGCAAAATCACCTCCGAGTATTTCTTTCCTAAGAAAACCCTATAAAAATCATGGGGCCACCATAAGCCAATAGGTGACTTGAAAGAACATGCACATTGCTCTCCTCCCAAGAAGTAAGCGTCATCTGATTTCCTGGCTGCAGTCTGCATCTGCAGTAATCTTTGCACCTAGAAATATAAGTCTGTCATGGCTTCCACGTTTTCGCCCTTTATTTGCCAGTTATCAATCAGTCTGGTTGCCATAATCTTGGTTTTTTTTAATGTTTAAAAGATGGCCAAAATGGTACTGGGGAGGAGCAGAGGATAAGTTCAACTAGCCCCAGATGTGATGACGCAGCTAGCTCAAAGCCGAAAGGAAGGCTAGCGGCCGACGGTACTGGAGGTGAACGACGAATCCGATGCTCTAAAGATCAACACACCATAGGAACCTGGAATGTAAGATCTATGAGCCAGGGCAAATTGGATGTTGTTATTGGCGAGATGTCAAGACTAAAGATAGACATTCTGGGGGTCAGCGAACTGAAGTGGACTGGAATGGGCCACTTCACATCAGATGACCACCAGATCTACTACTGCGGACAAGAGGAACATCGAAGAAATGGAGTAGCCTTCATAATTAATAAGAAATTCGCTAAAGCGGTGCTTGGATACAACCCAAAAAATGACAGAGTGCAAGGAAATGAAATTCGAGTGCAAGGAAAGCCTTTCAACATTACAGTGATCCAAATATACGCCCCAACCACAGCTGCTGAAGTAAGGCTGATAGCCTATATACAGCTGGAATTCTCTGACAACTAGATGATTCTCCCCACCCCCAAAATTTTTATCTACGACAAGCGAGGCAACTGGCACCTTACCTGTCGGATGAGGCTCTGGCAACAGTCATCCATGCCACGGTCACATCTAGGCTGGACTATTGCAACACCCTGTATGTTGGCCTTCCGATGTCTACGACCTGAAAGCTCCGTATTGTCCAGAATGCTGCAGCCAGGTTACTCACAAAAACGCCCATGAAATGCCATATAACACCAGTGCTGCGGCATCTACACTGGCTCCCAATTGAGTATCGTGGTTTGTATAAGATGCTGGTCCTGACCTTTAAAACTTTATATGGCCAGGGTCCATTGTATCTTAGAGACCGTCTCTCCTTTCACCATCATCGGAGGTCGACCATCCCAACGCGATTTGCTCTATTTACCGGGTCCTAGGGAAGTGCACTTGGAAAGCACCAGGCCTTTTCTATTTCTGCCTCTGCCTTATGGAATTCCTTGCCTCCCTATTTGAGAGCCATGCGTGACTTAGGGCATTTTATCCTAGCACTTAAGACCTGGCTTTTTACTAGAGCATTTGACCCATGTTAATTTTAATATTTGTATGTATGTGTTTTATCCTGTATAATTTCTGCTATGTAAATCGCCTGGAGCATCTCGGATGGAGGGCGATTAATAAGTAATTAAAGATGATGATGATGATCTTTTGTCAGGAAGCTTCATTTATAGCTTTGTATGAAATACGTTGCACTTTATATGTTATTTCTCTTAAGAAACCTGTTATGCTTTATTTCTGATCAAATGTTGAGTTAGTAGTTATACCTGATTCCAACATTCTGATCCAAATTCCTTTTTAGAATAGTAAAAGCCACAGCTACCATTGAGTTTGTTTTTGACTTTCTAACTGAAAAGTGCTTCTATGAATTTACTTAATTATGTATAAATATTTATTCACTTAATTATTGATTCAAATTATTTTGGTGTCCTGTTTTCCCTACAGGTGATAAAATTTGAATATGCTAGCATTGCAGCATTCATAGCAGTGATTGGAATTCTTTCCATAGTTGCTCAGGTAAGCATAGCTTTGGTAAGATTTTATTGCTCTAAATTTTAATGAACATTCATAACTATAAGCTTCGAAAATTGAAGTCCTTGAAAGTACATGCAGGGAGCTAAGATATAAAACACTGAAAAACTTGCTTCACTTTCATGTGTTACTGGGTGGATTTTGCTTGTTCTAATCAATTCACTCTGGTTCTATAGCAGTATGGGAATGGTGCAGATCATGGTCTGCATGTAGTCCTTCAGGGAGTCTCTTTGCCTCCCTAAGGTGACCCTAATTCCCTAAAAACCTTAACCTCATATTATTCTACATCAGGAGCTTGAATTAGACGGCATTTCAGTTCTCAAGTTCTAAGTATCAGAATATAAGGAAATGAATGATCATGGAAATAAAACACGAATAGAGATGGAAAAAAATCAAATTTATGTAGCTTGTGATGTGTGTGAATGTTAATAAAAACTGTCCATATTAGTTTTGCATTATCAAGAAAAACCCATGAGCATCAGATTTCATTTTATTTATTTTGGAATTATTATACACATGTAGGTGTACAAGTGGAATTACACATCTTTTAAAATACACTCAAAAATAATGTAGGCAATGAGATGAATAGAAATGCATAAGATCTGGAAAATTATGTATCTAAATTCTCATATATTTCCATATTGGAGAAGAATATAAAAACTCACAACTCAATTCCAAACAAGGGTCATACGAAAATGCCAGTAGAAAGTGCAGAATTGAGATTTGTGAAATAAAATAGTCTTCATAAGGACTGCTACGAGTAAAGAATTCAGTTGAAAATTGTAGAAATGGTTTTTCTGATTAATTGGTGTCTCAGAAGGTGGACGAAGATCTATGCCAATTTCATTTCCATCTGATAATATTCTTAATTTATAAACTAGTTTCAGGGTTACAGACGGAGAATGCAAAATAATGGACTTGTTTAAAAAATGCCATGATTAACTTCAAAATATTTGTGTTTTAGAAAGGATAGACATTTTCCAAACTTAAAACATGAAAGTGAGTTTGACATGCTGATTGATGAATTTACTGTAAATGTATAGTTTTTCAGACTTGGTTTTAAAGGTTTTTTTGCACAATAATATATCTTTTCCTTTTGCAGACTATTTTTCTCAGTATCCTGATGAGATCTATAGGGAATAAAAATACAGTACTCCTTGGCCTTGGTTTTCAAATGTTCCAGCTAGCCTGGTATGGTTTTGGTTCTCAACCTTGGTAAGTGTAGTACTCTAAGCTTTCCTGTGAGAGTTCTTTTAAATTCTCTCTAATTGTCACATAGCTATTGCTCTATTAAAGTTATTGTAAGTCACTCTGGGTGTGCAGCTCAAAAAGCAAGTGATTTTTTTTGATAAATCTATAGGCAATCCCCAAGTTACCAACATCTGACTGAGGAAATCTACACTTAAGAAGGGAAATTCACTCCTGTAAGAGGTATCATGGGGAAAAAATGTCTGCATTGAAGCTTTATCAAAAATTCTTATCAATCCTTGTTTCCACAACAAGCCAAACTTTTCAAAATCCAGTTGTCACAGGGACAGAAAGTGAGGTGAAATCTTCTGAACCACAGGGGAGTTAACCCTGCCCCATGCTGTCAGAACTAATACATAAAGGGGGATTTCAGGGGCACCCCAGGAATCTGACCTGTTTTTTCTGGAAGCTCCTAAGGGAGCCCTGAGAAATGGCTAATTGCGTTGTTGCAGAAGCTGCAAAAACTTTTGCCAAGTATCGCCCAAAAAAGAGATACCAGAGGGAAAGCTTTGTGAACACAAAATGCTGCTGCGGAGTTGTAAGAACTCCTGGAGAGGAGTCTTGAGGCTGCCACGACAACAAGCTTAAGAAGCCATCTTCCTCCTTTGCGATTGAGAGCCACTCTGTAAAGAACTAGGTAAATGATTGAGCTGGATTGCTCTTCTGATATCATCAATAACATAAAAGGCAAGATTACAAGCAAACATATTTGGGAAATTTTCAAGTCATCTAGTGTTTTTGAATTAAGGAGCTTTCCGTCTGTTTGATTCTTTCATGGCATTATCAAGTCTTTACTTGATTTTGTGCTTAATTTTTTTCTTCTTTGATTAAAAGCAGAGACTTGTGGAGAATATAAACAATATGCTTGGGCAGTCTGGGTAAATCACAATCCGTTTTGGTGTCCTAGATTTCGATGGGGGGGGGGGGGGTCTCGATCCATTTTTCAGGGGCCTTTTAAATTCGGGAGGACAGAAATCTGTTTTTGATCTAGGAAGCCAAAAGATTTGTTTTCTATCCAGCCCATTGGTAATGTAGGGAACTTTCCACAGGCTCCTCTTCCCATCATTTTAGGCATCGTCTTTGTCCTTACATCCTTCATTAAGACCTGGATTAAAAGCATCAAAGTTGATACCACTCTTCCTGTGATCCTTTCCCTTCTGTCTGTAGAGGAGACCGGGTTTAATGCTTCGTTAAAGCTGTTTCTACTCTAGAGGAGATAGGAGCTGTAGGTGCATGCTCCTTCTCCCTGCAGCAGGAAGTTTAACAAGGCATTTTGAGGAAGCTTCCCATTTCCCAGGGAAGGAACATGGATCGGCCTGGAGGTATCCTACCTTGGGCTTCCTTTAAAAAACCCTGTTATCTCTCTTGATTTTGAGGCACTGGTGCCTTTTCCCCCCTCACGCTTTTCCTTCTAGCAACCTCCTCCCTCCCTACACTCCATGTATAACCAAAAGCAGCCTGATTTCGACAGCCACTGTTCTGTTGTGGTTGGTAAAAAAATTGACAGCGGAGCCCACGCCATTATGGGCTTCTGGACCAACTGAACAAGCTGAAGGCAAACATCCATAACAAATCCATTCACAAACCTAGTAAACAATTGAAGAAGCTGCAAGCTGGATGAGCGAGATTTTTTTTGAGATTATGTTTTTTTCTTTCCTTTTGAAAGCCTGTTTTTCTTTTACATCAGCTATAGGAGATACTAAGACACGGAACATTAAATACAGAATGATATAGAATAATCATAATATAAAATTTGTATTATTGGATTAAGAGATAAAATACCACAAGGACTGAAATCTGGGGCTTGTATTTTCTGTCTGTTGAACATTTGGTAGTGATAGCTGGAAGACATTTCTTTTGGTGAAAGTGTGTTTGGCTGACCTTGAGGACACCTGATGAGGCACTGTGCACTTGAGAGTAGCCAAAGCAAATTAACAGCTGCAAAAGAATTGGCGACTTACTGCTGACTAAATCTGTATGATGGAAGTGGAGGAATACCTATATGAATTTAAAGCAAATACCAAGATATTTTACCTGCTTTTTGGAGAGAATATAGACAATGGCCGCAAGAGCAAAAGCAGTTTAGTTCAAGACAAAAATAGTATATATATATAAAAATAAAACAGCATATGTTTTTTACAAAAAAAAATGGGAGGAATTTCAAGATATAAAGAGAGAACTAAAATCAAACCAAGATGCCATGTTACTGTCTCTGGATACTATGAAGAATGAACCAAAAATGGAATTGTGAGAGGTTAAAAAAATATACTCAATTGACAGCAGAGGTGAAATTGCAGTGGAACAAGTTGAGAAGTTGAGGAAAAGAGCAGATATTCTTGAAAACAAAATAAAAGCTGCAGATAATGGAAAGGTTTATGATAGGGAAAGAAATTTGAATTAATTAACATTTCAAGATCTTAAGGAGAGATAATATTCTATGAGAATATGAGGCTTGAAAGAAGAATCACAAAAAGGCACAAGAAGAATGATTATGGAAGCTTTAGCAGACTATGGGCATAAAGGAGATTGAACTTGAGAAACAGGTTAACAGAATTTTCAGGATCACAAAAAGAAGAATGCATCTCAAGAAAGTACCAAGAAATATGATTGTCTGCTTTGTCAAGAAATGTTCCTAAAGAAGAACTGGAAGGAATTGAATAAATGGATGTATTTTCTAAAGTTAAATCAACACAATGCCTTAAAAAGGGAATCTCTGTGTGGAATAGATGAGTATGGTATTTAAAGATTGGCCTGCAACATTGTTTAGTTACTAAAATAATAGTGGTTGTTTTTATAACTTTTATGTGATTTTTTTTATACTAATGTACCATTTATGTTTATATACTACACTTGTAGTGCTTTGTAAACCACACAGTCCTTTTTGAGAGATGGTGGTGGGATGTAAATAAAGATTATTAAAATTATTATTAAAATTATTGATAGAAAGGAGAACAATATTAGACAACAAAATTATTATTTTATTATAAGTAATATTTTTGTCTGCTTCCTTATGATGCACCATTGGTTAAGAGCGTCGATAATATAACATGTTGTATGATACTATCCTGGTGTAGGGTTGGGGAGTTTTCTCCAAAATACAATATATAGTTTATTACTATTAGAAGGTTTACCATTACCAATGTTAGAAAATTACGTTCTATGGAAGAAGCAATATTTGAAGGCCTGGAGAATATTGCAATGTAATAGTAGTAGATAATATACAGATGAATGTTCTGATAGTTATATTTAGTTTTGTACATGTGTGTGTATGATTTACACTTTAAAAATGTACTTACTTCTGACTGACATCCAAATTCAACTTAAGAAGAAACTTACAGAACTTATCTTGTCTGTAACCTAGAGACTCGGGTATGCCTTCGAAGTACCTTTTCAAATATGTGTAGAGGACAGTTTTTCAACTGTCTGCATCCCTGAAGGTTGTGATGGTTGTAACAGATTTCTTTTTGGAGGGTGTTGAGCAAAGTTTGGATCCAGGGATCTCTAGCATTATAGAGAATTCTTGTTATTCTATTCATGCTACATTTTATAATAACCTCTTCTTTATGCTGTTTGTATGCTGTTATTTTCAACTGTATAGTTGGGGAAGGTTTAATTGATAGGGCAAATGACCGCTTCCTCGTCTGCACAATTAAAGCATCTTGTGATACTTATGTGTAAAATGAGTTATTGCCTATTAAAGTTCTCTTCCCCATGTTGGAAGAAGTAAACTATCTTCTTACCGTCTTTCTACATAAACGGAAGATTACTAATAACTTGTAGCTTCATTGGGTGGCAGCTGTGATCATTGCCAATCTTCATGGCAAACATAAAGTAATAGTATCACCATGTAATAACTGTACAGCAATCTTTTGCCCTCGTTTCAATTTTGTAATGGCCTAATTTTGTGTGTCTTGCTAGGATGATGTGGGCAGCAGGAGCGGTAGCATCCATGTCGAGTATTACATTCCCAGCAATCAGTGCTCTCGTGTCCCGAAATGCAGACTCAGATCAACAAGGTGAATGCATCATCTTTGTTTATATGTATAAAATGCCATCTTTTAGTGCTATTTTCTTTCCAAAATCAGCATGCATACATCCACCTGTACTTTACTGCCCATTTGCAAGAGACCACTAAACTTCCAAATACATCCACTGTTTGAAAACAATGTATCATACACCTTACATGTACATGTTTTGATAAAACAGCTATCCTTGACTCATGGCTTTAACATTAATCATTTTTTAAAAAAACTACAGAAAATGTACCAGAGCAAAGCTGCAACATATAGAGAGCAATCTTCAACTGGGGATAGAGGGTGCACCATTCCATGAATTTATATAGGACCTTGGTGGATAAGCAACTTCAGGGTTATTTTATTTATAGAAATCAGTTACCATACAATAGATCTACTAGACTTATATGTTTGAGTTTACATGTGCAATTCTTGTAGCTGTGCTTTAGGAAACAGATAGTATAGCTTTTTGGGAAGCATTACCTCCTATATGTGTACTTTATAGGAAATACATTGTGTAAGGTGATTGGAAATGTAGAACTATGCCATAGGCCGCTTTCCCTACTGTGTAATCTTTTTTGGGGGGGGGGCATCATCTTATAGGATGAGCTTGGACCAAGGAATTAGTATAGGGGAGTCTGACTGAGAGAGAGAAAAACTGAAAAGATAGACTGAATTGACTTATACATGATGCAGTCATCTGAGGGCAGTTATCCAGTGTAATTGTTGTCAGTTAATAGTCCTATGTGCTTGAATGGGTGGTCTTATGGGACAGTAACATTTAATTTCCAATTTATTTGACAAGTGATCTTGAACACATTATGAGTCCTTTGTCATTGGTTGTGAACAAAAGACAAGGAGAATTTGTCACTCATTGGCTGAAAAATACTCTTTATATGTAGAGATGGACAGATACGTACTTTAAAAAGGAAACTAAGCAGTCTAAGCCAACTTTCTTCTGCTCAGTTACAGCTATTTCTAACAGCCTGGAGCGATGCTATTTCTAAGGCATTCCTGATAAAGCTGGATATTAAATACCACATAGTAATATAATGTGTTTTATTGAAAAATGCAGTGGATATCTTTTTGAGATATTTGTGGAAAAATATGTTTTTGAATGCCTTTTAAAAGATTTTTAGAATTTTATGATTGATGGTTGTATTATCATGGTATATAAGATTTTTCTCTCTCTGTACTAATGTGGGTGATGTCTCTCATATGATGTATGTTGTTAGATTCCTTACATACAATTTAAAATATGCTAGAGATGTCCTAGACTTGAAAATCTAGGTCCTATGCATATGGTATGTACTGATTTTTTTTTTACATTAATGAATAGGCTAAAAATGTTATAATGCTGCCTGATTATTCTCCGATGTTAAATATTCCAAAATGCCAATATGCAAGATAAATTAAGAGGAGCTAAATGTTGGTGCAATTTTAGTCAGTCTATTTCCCTTTTTGTAAGATGTCCACTGATGTATTGAATGGCATAGAAAGAGAGAGAAATGTAGCATCAACAAAAGAAAAATAAATACTTCTAAACCTAATTTGAATGAAAAAAAATCACCTCTTTCAGTAATTGTGCTTTGAAGTCCTCACAGTTAAAGAGTGGACGTTACTGCCATCTAGTGGTAATTGAATCCTTGATTGTTCAAAAGTGTACAGATTTCTCCATTGAAATGAGTGATCTAATTCAGAGTACATCTACCTGTGTTGTTATTGCAGTTTGACACCACTTTAACTCAATGCTATGGAATCCTGGGAGTTATAGTTTGGTGAGGTTCCGGCACTCTGAGAGACAATAATAAAAAACCTTGTAAAACTACAACTGCCAATATTCCATAGCATTATCCATGGCAGTTAAAGTGGTGTCAAACTGCAGTAATTCTAAACAGTAGATGCACCCTCAATACCTTTGGAATTTTGAAACAAGGACACCTCAATTTCTAGGTGGTCCACAAGGTCTCTTCCAATTCTATGATTCTATGTTTATGTCCTAAAATAACTTCCAATGTGACGTATACTTTTGAAATCTAGCTAGTCTGGAAAACATTAATCAATACTTGGTCAGTTTGAATTACCTGACAGTTTATTTATTTATTTATTTATTTATTATTTGAACTTATATGCCGCCACTCCCCTGGGGCTCGGAGCGGCTTACAAGAATGGCTAAAATCTAACAAAATTTAAAAGCAATTTAAAACAATTTAGACATAGCAGTATCAAACATTAAAAGCCTGACGAAACAGGTATGTCTTACATGCCCTGCGGAAAGCTGGTAAGTCCCGCAAGGCACGGACTTCAGGTGGCAGAGTATTCCAGAGTGATGGTGCCACTGCTGTGAAGGCTCTGCGTCTGGTTGCTGTTAGATGCAAGGTCTTGACACTGGGAATTTCCAATAGATCTTGGTCCTCAGAACGGAGGGATCTCTGGGGTTGGTAGGGGGTGAGGCGGTCCCTCAGGTACATCGGCCCCAGACCATGCAAGGCCTTAAAGGTGAGTACCATCACTTTGAAAGTGATCCGGTGCTCAATTGGTAACCAATGCAGCTGTAGTAAGATTGGTGTTATGTGGCATCTCATCGGAATTCCCGCAAGAAGCCGAGCAGCTGCATTTTGTACCAACTTGAGCTTCCGGATCACCGACAGAGGAAGGCCAATGTAGAGGGCGTTACAGTAGTCCAGTCTTGAGATGACCGTGGCCTGGATCACCGTAGCTAGGTCGTTCCTGGACAGGTAGGGGGCCAGCCGTCTAGCCTGCCGCAGATGAAAAAAGGCGGAGACCTGGGCCTCCATTGTCAGCAGAGGGTCCAAAAGGACTCCCAGACTCTTTACCAATGATGGCGGGCAGCGCCTCGCCATCCAGGATAGGCAGCTGGATATCCCCACTGCCCGGTCGACCCAGCCATAGGATCTCCATCTTTGCTGGATTCACCCTCAACCAGTTACATGATATCATTAAAGTTCAGGTTAGAGTTTCTGTATTATAATTTAAAAACTCAGTTAACTTATTTTTGCTGTAAATTTGCTTTTGTTTCTTCAGGAGTTGTGCAGGGAATAATAACTGGTATCAGAGGCCTGTGCAATGGTCTTGGCCCTGCTCTCTATGGCTTTATTTTTTTCCTTTTCCACGTGGAACTTAATGAGTTGGCCCCTGTTCAAGATAAAACGACGATGCAGGATCCAAGTGATGAGGTAAATTTCTTTGGTGTCCACTTCTTTTTCTTTCTTCTGTGGTATTACAGTTTTTGGTTAAAAAATACTTACATATGCCATTCTACTGGGTTGTAGAAATTGGATAGAGATCTGCTGTCAGCATCAAATTATGCAAAAGATGTTTCTAGCTCACATGGTTGCTTAAAGGGTGACAGAGTATCCGTGCAAACAGAAGATATCAGAATAAGTTTTCAGTACTTTAATAAATTGATATAATTTCTTTACCCTGTGATCCTAATTCTTTACATTTGACAGCTGTGGACTATCATGCGCTTATTCTGTTTTCTGTCTCTTAATAACAAAATCCTATATTAGTTATATTTAAGAACCCATTTTTTGTAGTTGGATAGGATAGTGTCATCTGAACATACTTGCCACTTGTGCAATTAATTCCAGTTGTATAATGAAATGTAAGAAATGTGTGGCTCTCTAGATGTTGTTAGATTTCAGCTCCCTTCAAGCTAGTGCCAGGTACCACATAGGTTCGTTCTTCCTAGTCAGCAGTTCCTGGTTATAGATCATGATCTTTATTGTCTTATAAAACTGGATTTTTATAAGAATTATTTTGACAGTTATTCTAAATATACCTCAGGATGGTTTGTGTTTGATTTTGTCCTTTTTTTTGCTTTCTTACACTGTAGGGGAATCTGAAATCTCTTATATGTGTAGAGGTTTTTCACCGTACCAAAAAGCTACCCTTTCTGAGCTTGCATTTCCATGAAAAAAGATGGTTGGGAGAATGCCAGTTTTTCTTGGGAACTGAGGGGGTGAAATCTTATGGGGAGAATACTACAGAGACGGAGTGTTTATTTTTCTATCTGTGTTTGTCATAAGTGGGTGATTCATTGTCTCTCCCAGTCACCACAGTGCCTCTATTTATTTTTATGTAGCCTCCTCTGTGCTGGTGTACTTGGGGTGCTTTATAATGGAGTTGTCAGAATTTCCATGCATTTATGGTTGAGTCAGCGCTTCTGTTTATAGGCTTGTATTTTTAATAATTTACAATATGTGGCAAAGGCACGGCCGAAGGCTGTCATAACAGCTCTCTTGGGGGAAACATTTTCAAGTATCACAGGTTTCCTACTGACTTAATCAGAACTCACACAGGTTTGATTCTTTTATGCATTCATAGATAGTGTGGCCTGAGTAGATCTCCTTCTCTTAGTATTGTGTCATTTGTGCATTAGTACTTCTGAGTGGTTTTAGTAAAAGAGTGAGATACAAATTACTATTAATAACCTGTAATATATCGTTATTATTAATAATGGCTACTGATAAATTTGAATATGTTAGCATGTACTTAGTCTTTAATTAGCTGTTACTTGTTTATATTGTGAATACTCTCTTTATTCTATATGTTAGTTATACAGCGGATTTCAAAAAGATGGACCTGATTTGAAATCACTATCTCTTCAACTATGGGCAACCCATTAATGAAATGCTTACCACCTTAAAGTGTTTCAAATGATTACCACTAGATGTCTCTCCCAGTGCACAAATAGCCCCAAGTATCAGTCATTTGTAAGATGGCGACATAAGGCTTAATGAGGTATTTTCAATTTGCGGAGTTATTTTTAGATTTGTTTCTGGCTCAAAATGGTTAGTAAAACTTCATAACTCATTAAATTGTTTGTGACATTTTTGGGAATTATAATACTTTGCCATCGTGGAATATACTGCTTTGAAATTGGGTCCATCATTTTGAAAGCATTCTTCATCCTTTCCCGAGGTTTCCTGGTGTGAGTTTGGGTCAAAGAGAAGTGGGTTGCTACCACTCACCATCCTCCTTTCCTTCTCCCTTCCAGAATATCTGTGAAGCATAGGGGGGAAATCTTCCTGTTCCCACCCAGCCCCAGTCAGACTAAATGTACTCTTTTTCCAGATCCTTTCAAGGGTCCCAGGTGCCATGTGAGTACATGTTGTGCCAGTTTCGTCATGGTTTCCCCTGTGACAGGGCTGCAGTTTGGCGGATCTTGCCTTTCTCTTCTGCTGCCTCCATAAGCAGCGTGTTCTGTGTGGCTTTCCAGCCCAGTGCCAAATATGGCAAGATACAAATGGGAACAGTTCTTTGACCAGCTTTGGAGTTAGTCAGAACAATTGAGATTGTTTATCACTTCCAAGTGCTACTTCCATTCAGTAATACTTTTTGCCCCATCTTTGAGTCAAAGTGGGATTTGGTTTGTGAAAACCATGTACTTTTGACATGGTTCCCAAGGTCAGGTAAACGGTTTTGACTCTTGTATATATGTTATTTTGGTAGTCAGTTAATTAATGTAACAAAGAGAATTGTACTCGCACATTCTATACATAGTCCTAGATAGCTTAGAGAGAGGCTTGCATACTCTCGTTCTCATTTCGTTGCACACAGATTCACTTGAGATCGCTCAGACATTCATTCTCCCTCCTGCTCTCTCTCTGTCTCCAGAGTTCAATCATACCTGGTCCACCTTTCCTGTTTGGAGCATGTGCAGTCCTTCTAGCTTTTCTGGTTGCCTTATTCATCCCTGAGCACAGTAAAGCCAGCAGTTCCCGGAAGCACAGCAACAGCATCAGCAGTATCCAGAGCAACAACCCAGATCGAGGCAGCGATGAGGACATTGAACCACTGCTGCAAGACAGCAGCGTATGAGAGTTAGATTTTTCTGATGTTAATATTGACTGCAAACAAGCAAAATCCATGCACTGAGCTCTGGATTCAGAGCGTAACTTTACTGGAGGGAGCTTTTGACTTATCAGAAGCTTTGCACATTTCACCCACCTAAGGTACATTGTGTAAGTGGCCACTGATGTTCAATCAAGGCAGATTTCAGCCACTTACTGTGCTTTCTGAATAACAGTCCAAAGTAGTTATTTTATGTATCTGTGGAAATCCTACCAAGCCCAATACTGAACGTCGGAATTATGGAATACATTATCTTCGAAAACACTGAGCACCTAAATTCACTGTGAACAGATCACAGCCCCTGCGAGAAGTAGCAAGTAGTCAATTTTTTTTCCATTATGCCTTTCCATTGGATATGTACTCCTTCGTAGCCCTCTTGGGTTTGGGAAAATACTATATACAAATAAATGTTACTGATAGAAAAAGTCTATTATGAAATCTCTCCATCAATATTTCCCTGTTTTTCTCTTATCATGTTGTCTAAATAAATTGAAATATTGCATAACTATTGATGAAGTATTGCAGGAGAACTTCAGGCATTGAAATAGAGGTTATTTTCTTGTTTTTCAACCCTTATGTCCAAAGACTCTTAATGTACCATGTATAAAAAGGGCTCCATTTGGAATCTTAAAGGGGCAAAGACAATTCTTTGCTTTTGGAAGGCATAAGTTGCTCACTGAACTAGCTGGCATCCCCAATGTAGCTAGTTCTAACAAACTAATTAACTGGATGCTGAGGCAATTTACATTGACTTGTGTGTATTTACTACATCATCTGTCACTTTTTGATCTGCCATATGAAGCACTTCCAAACCTGTTGATTTCACTCCTGCCTTAACTGCTAGTACACATTTGTTATCATCTATATTTAGTCTTTATATCAATCTCTGAAGAATCTCATGGAACTGTAATTATGAAATGCTTCTCCAAAAGAGGCTTTAAAGATGGTTTAGTTTCTACACAGTATCAAGCTATAATTTTTGGGGGCATTTTATGAAATTGCACAGATTTCTATGTATTTTGCTGCAGTGGAAAAGGACCATTACACAAAAATCTAGCAAAGTACTCTTATGAATGTTTTATATGTATTGAAATATATGTAGATATTTGTAAGAAGTTTTACTTTTTCCAGATGAGATAATGTGTAAATCTTGTATTTATAAATGTAATGAGGATGTTGACAGATATACAGCTTTTATAAAGGATTGTGTATTGACTGACCAAAATTTAAATATATATATTTTGAAACTTGTTCCGCCTTAAGCAAAGATATCAAACCTTTTGTACTATGCAGTTTGGTTTTTAAGTTAATAAGCTTCCTAATGCATAATAAATTTGCAACCTAAAGTATACGTGTTTCAGTTGTGTTTTTACTATTTTATGTTTCATTTCTTTCAATACAAAAGGGAAGTTTGAATAATTTGAAGTAAATCATTGTTAGCTCAGTGTTGGACCGATGTATTGGAACTAATCAACTTTCTTTCCTTGCCCTAGTCATTGCAGAGTTCGGTATATAGGTTTGGGTTTAATACAAATGAATGGTTTTTAAATAATGCTTTTTATGTTGGATTTTCAATACATAATGAAATTAGAATTTTTTACAAATGTAATTCCTAGTTCAGTTTTTAAAAAATCATAATCATGAAGAAAAAAAGGTAAAAGATATAAGTTTTCCCTTGACGTTAAGTCTAGTTGTGTCTGACCCTGGGTGTTGGTGCTCATCTCTATTTCTAAGCCAAAGAGCCAGCATTGTCTGTAGACACCTCCTAGGTCATGTGGCTAGCATTACTTCATTGAGCACTGTTACCTTCCTGCCAAAGCAGTACCTTTTGATCTACTCATATTTGCATGTTTTCGAACTTCTAAGTTGGCTGAAGCTGGGGTTAACAACAGGAGCTCATCCTTGTCCAATGCATTCAAACTATCAACCTTCCAGTCAGCATGTTCTGCAGCTTAGTGGTTTAACCCGCTGTGCCACTGCGATCCCAAAGTCAAAAGTGTCATCACTCATAGTAATAATAGTTTCTAAATATATTATGTGAATGGGTTAAGAGTTGTTTATGGAGATGGGAGAGGATATGATCAGTCCTATTCTACAAATGGTGTCCATAAAGTACTCTCTCTATTTCAGGGGTCTTTTTTTATGAAGTTAAAATTACATTGAAAACAATTCAGTTTTTTTCTTAGTGTGTACCTACCTTTTAAAATTTTGATGAAATAGTCTTCCTCACTAGTGATTTTAACTACAGTAATTTAAATCCATTTAATTTAATCAAATCAACTGTGCAAAGGAGCATTTGGTATAGTAAATTACAGGACTGATTAAAGATACGCCAGTCCTGTAGCTAGTTCAGTGGCAGGAATTGTGCCTTCCATAAGGTCATTTTTCCCCCCCAACAAAATGAAGAGAAGCTGCAAGGTTGTCATTGAGCTTAGAGTGTAACTCTTTGATATCTTCAAGCATCTCTCCTTCCCCCTCTCTCCTCTGGAATATACATCCCAAGGTGAATAATTTTCAACGCATCTTGGACCTCAGAATATCAGTTGATATAATTAAAACAACATGATAGAATTAAAACAGCATGAAGCAACCAAAGCCTCCAGCCATTCCTGTTGATTTGTTACCACAAGCTTTCACTTTTGATGCCCTAGGCCCAGATGTCTCTTAATATCTTTTGATCCTACACAAGGGTAAGCCTACAGTCACCAGATTGAAATTAAATGCCATGTGGAAATTGATTCTATGTGACAGTAGTGTTTTGAAAATCATGTTGATACCACACTGCCACAATAAAACAATTCACATGTTTGAAGCCAAGAAAAAATGGTTAAAATCCAAGTTGCATACACAAGGCTTTAGAGCAGCCAAATATTGCATATTTTCACCATCTTGAAATGTATTCATATTAGCACCTGTATTTCAGCCCTTTGTGATTTATATGCACGTATCCTGCCCTTTGGTGTAGAAACATTTCTTGGTTGATTTTCAAACATGACACTAAACACATGAACATTAAAAATGAATGCTGCATGACTAAAAAGTACAATATGAATAGCTGAGGAAATAATTCACTCTTAACCTAAAAACAAGCCTTATAGAGAGGAGAACATCTCACCTTTCTGATTCACCTGCACTATGTTTCCTCAATCTCCTGGTAGGTAAAAGTAAAGGATTCCCCTGGGAGTAAGTTTAGTCGTGTCCAATTCTCGAGGGGTGTGTGTGTGCTCATCTCCATTTCTAAGCCAAAGACCTGATGTTGTCTATAGACACCTCCAAGGTCATGTGGCCAGGGGACACTCCACAATCTCCTGGAGACATTCTAAAAATAAAGGCAGTAATACCAAGTTGACAAGACCTATTATTTCAGAAGCAAGTAAATAAATAGGTATAAATCTGGGTCTTCCAAATCTAATTCTTCATTGTATCCCATTCAACTTCCATCTGATTTCACTTCTGCTTCTCTTGGTAGTACTTCAGATGAAAGTTAAATTTTGACTAAAATGAAAGTAAGAGTGAGAGTCACACTGCTCAACAAGATTCAGACCCAACTGTGCTTTGAAGACTTCAAGGAAATGTTTCAGAATTTGGATCTTTGAAGATGTTCTATTGATATTAATAACTATCATGAGATGCAGAGTCAGGCAGTGCACTTGTCTCATTCTGATCTAACTTCACATGACTTAGTATGTTTCTTGCCTTTGGTTTGATGCAAAAATTCCTCTTTGCAGTTAATTTTCTTCAAACACTGGAATCTGATTTTTAAGATAGTGTTCCTACAATATACATACCACCAACACCACTTTTAGTTGTACTGTTTATAATGCGAAGTACTCTCCAAGACACTTATTTCTTACCTGGCTTTTATTTTCTCCCCATTTTAATGTCATCCAAGTTTTTTTGTGGATTGAGAGGGAACTACGAAGTTAGAACTGAATGTGCAATGCTGTGAAGGTTTATTTTGATTCTGAACAAATTTTGGGACTCAGACAACTAGAGGTCCATACATTATTCTTGCATTATTAAACTAGAGTATAAATAGGAGTGGAATCTACTTCAATTATCTGCCATATGGAGGGTGATGGCTGAAGAGGAAGCCCTTCTCTCTGTCCCACCACTCTTGCTGTCGCATATGGTGGAAAGATGAGAAAGTTTCAGAACTTGGGAGTAGTCCATCTCCTTCACTTTCTCCTTTTTAAATTTACTGTTTCTCACATGGGTCTCTTAGGACAAATTATTCCACTGGAACTGTTATTCAGAAAGAGATTTGAAGCTTAAACACTGTAACTGTTCAACCCTAAGAGAGGAACAAAAACTGATACGTTTCAACACTAATTCTTTGGGTAAGAAAATCTGCAGGGTGATGAAAATAATTTTGTTGTTCATCACTTTCATTTAATTGTATTTAATTAAGGGCTGGACTCTTCATCCCCCCATTTCCTGTTCTCAGGACAACATTTTAATTGTACATTGTTTTAAGGCATTGAATAGTTGCCTGTGTGAAGCCACCTTGAGTCCCCTCCAGGGTTGAAAAAGGTGAGGTAGAAATATCATAAATAAATAATAAATGTACAGGGTGCACACAATCCCCTGTTACACTAGCTTCACTTGCTGCCAGTCTGCTACTGGGCACCATTCAAAGTGCTGGCTTTACTTTATTAATCCCTAAACAGTTCCGACCTAGATTATCTATCTGAACGTATCTCCCTCTGTCAACCAGGAGGTTAAGATCATCTGGGGAGGTCTTGCTCTCGGTCCTACCTCCTTTGCAGGCGTGACTGCACAGGGATTTCTCAGCCGTGGCCCCTTGCCTATGGAACTCCCTCCCCAATGAAATGAGATCATCTACTTCTCTTCTGGCCTTCAGAAAAACACTTAAGATGTGGCTTTGAGACCAAGCTTTTGATAAGTAATTGAAGCTGTGCAATAAGTAATCATGAATCAATGTAATTGACAAATGGAACGGCCCTGGATTATGATTTGGGTGGCATGATTTTAATTGATATTTAATATGTTTTAATTGATGTTTAATAATGTATGTTTTAATTGTTTGGTTTTAATTGTAATTGTTTCTTTTTTAAAAATATATGTGTTTATGGCATTGAATTGCTGCCTGTAGTAAGGCTGTCTTGAGTCCTCTCTGGGGTGAGAAGGGTGGAGTATAAATATGGTAAGTAAATAAATGTAGAAGTTGCAAACACTATGCTGCTGCTCATTTTTAGCTCATTGAAGGAAAGGTGTTATAAATAAATACTCAAAATTTCCAGGCATATAGTTTTATTCTTTTCCATGCAGTTATCAATCCTCAATCTGCCCTCCTCACCATCCATCCATCCATCCATCCATCCATCCATCCATCCATCCATCCATCCATCTATTAAGCTGTATTCCACAAGAACTCAGTCTTCATGGGGTTTCTTTTGGGCTTTAACCACCTTCACTCCAGAATTCAGCCCCCTTGATATTATGCTTCTACCAGGATAAAGGTTATTCCTAGATTCTCCCTACCTCCCTCTTGTTCATGTGTATTGTGAGTACAAGCATTCCGGCAATCAAATCCAAATTCGAATAGAGCTGGCTATTCATTTATCATGATTTAAGCTAAGACACTACAAGACAAAATTAATCTTTACAGAAACCGAATGGGGTGGATATAGAGTAAGACACAAATTGGAAATGTAAGAATTCAAAGACTTACCACAGCCTGTCAATCCAGACTAGATCGCAATCAGTATCTTGGGCACCTTGTGGTTCAACACATTTTAATATCAGCAAGCTTTGCTGCCAATGTTTAATGTTTGCTTTACAAAGGCCACCCCCTGCTTAGGCTTTTTTTTTTCATAACAAAGCAATCTTTGGGGACCGACATGCCATGTTGAAGCATAGGGCATTGTTATGCAGACACAAAACTCTGCTGTATGCGTGTGTTCTTTCTTCAAAGAAATGAAGGAGCCCTTCTTAGATGTTAATACCCACGATTCATGTTTTAACTCAACACTTGAAGGTCAACGCCTGAGGCAAAGTCAGACTTAACAACGTGTTAGGGAGTGTAGATGGATGTACAAGTACAGCATGGATTTTCTCCCATGACCATTCCTCCGTAATAATAGGAATGTTACAATCCTTCACAAACACACTGACAACCTAATGCACCCGTGAGATTTTGCTGGAAACATTTCAACACAGAGAATATAGAAGCCTGGATTTTCTCATATTTTAACCTCTAAACCTTTTCACAATGCCTTATCTGGCATAGAAGCTGCTTCAAGAACACAGAAAGAGCAAGGGCTTCTTAGGCCTATTCAGATGTTATTAAAGACATACTTTATAAAACTAGGCAAACAACCACTAC